GAGAGAGAGAGAGAGAGAGAGAGAGAGAGAGAGAGAGAGAGAGAGAGAGAGAGAGAGAAGCAAAGTGAGAGAGTAACAACGAACAAGAACAAGAGAGAAAAGAAATCCGAGCAATAAGGGAAGAGGCAGAGTGGAAAAAGAAAAATGAATTGATGGATAGGAGGAAATACAGCTTGCTTGTCACCCTGCCCTTGCTATGCCTGGTCCTGGTCTCAAAGGGGCTGTGGTTCAGATGAAGTTTCTCTACAGAGATAAGCCCGGAGTCTTCTATGGTGGAACATGGGCCTTTGAGTGTGTCCTAAGTTAAATCGGTTGATTCATTTGTTCAAACATGCCTTAAGAACCTTTGCTCCTTGTATTTGGTGTTCTGAAACTGTTCATCCTGACATGTTCTGCTCTGGTTCTTATTTGCAACAGCTCACCCTCACATCCGTCTTTTTGTCACCCACGGTGGGATGAACAGCGTGATGGAGGCCATCGAGCATGGGGTGCCCATGGTGGGGGTTCCTGCCGGTGGAGACCAGCCTGACAACATGTTGCGGGTCCAAGCCAAAAAGCTTGGTCTCTATATTCATGTCGATCAGCTGACGGCAGAGACTTTGGTTCTGAAGATGAAGCAAGTCATAGGAGACCAGAGGTATGGAGCTGACTGGACTTGAGACTCTCCTTGTTACTGAGGGTGCAGGAAACAGAAATCATGAAGGGTTTTTATGATTTATGTTTCTCGAACAGCTATAATATATAGGTGATGGCTGAGCAGTTTGTTTCCTGATAGAAAGAGCAGAGCCAGGTAGATGAGATGCTGGTACTGTGTTGCGAGGGACTTGAACAACTTACTCATTTTCTTTGAAAGTTGGTATGTTTTGGGGGTGTTTAAAGTAGAATTGCAACCCAGGCAGGAGTTTGCTTTTCTACACCACAAATACACCACTTTGGCTCTTTGTACTGTTCTCTACAACTCTCCTTCCCTGGTCTCCGCCATGACACTCAGATCTCATCTCCAATGTGACTTCCTCAGAGAGTTCTCTGAGTCCTAACTAGACTCTTCTGCCAACAGTACTCATAACCCAACATTCCCTTTAGGTATCTCGGGGTCAGTATAATCACCCTATTTCTTTATGTATTCTCTTCTTGTCTGCCTGTGTGGTAGAAATTACCAATCTACCCACAGGACAGCTCTGTGTCTCCTGTTCTTGATAGTTCACTGTGTCTGGCACAGAGCTTGTTCAAAGTTAGTTTGAGAGAAGGTCTGCAAATCTATGATAAAGACCCAGTGTTATCTTCCACAACTTTCCATCCAGCACACTTATCTTGAAACCAGGAAGGACTGAATATATTATGTATGTTTTAAGGGCTCAAAAGTATCCTCTATTCTATGTGCTCACATGGACTGTTCCCTTTAATGTAAAATAAACCTGCTTAGAATAGAGGTTAGTCCTTAAAGACTGCCATTTTAAAAAAATTATTTATTTATGCATACAGAACAAAGGTACAGGCCAGAGGTGCAGGGGCAGTGAGGGGATTCACCAGAGTCAGAGTGGAGAGCAGAACAGGGAGATAGACGAAGTACACTGCTGAGGGGAGCAGCCATCGGGACAGGAGAGGTCTGCCGTGCCATGTGGGCCACCTTCCTGGCCAGGCATTGAACTCATGATGAAACGGCTGCGGTGAGATTCAGGGTGCTGCACTTTAACTCGTTGCATCACCGGGGAGGGCCAAGGCTGCCATTTTGTATGGTCTAGCATTTCCAACACTCAGCCTGTATCTTTGCGTGTAGGCCCAGAATGAACTTCTGGGGAACTCAGCTCGACAGTACAAAGGCCAGGCCCAGACTTTTCCTTAAGATGCAGGCTCCTGTGACACGGTGGGGAGGGTTTGTGGGCTGCTCAGGCACGTGAGTGATACCCAGCTCTGTCTCTGCCACAGGTATAAATCTGCAGCGGTGGCTGCCAGTGTCATCAGGCGCTCCCACCCCCTCACGCCAGCTCAGAGGCTGCTGGGCTGGACCAACCACATCCTCCAGACAGGGGGCGCAGCACACCTCAAGCCCCACGTCTTCGAGCAGCGGTGGTACGAGCAGTACCTGCTGGATGTCTCCTTGTTCCTGCTGGTGGTTACCCTGGGTGCCGTGGGGGTCTGTGTGAAGCTGGTGGGCTTGGTGGTCAGGTTGTTGAGGGGCGGGAAACTGAAGAAGATGTGATGCCCCCTGCAGTCCTGGAAGGGTGAATGTTAGGGAGCTATTTTTGGAGGCTTCCCCAGTAAGACACCATTCTCCATACCACACACACATTGTCTCACCCCGTAACCCAGCACACACATTTCTCCTCACTTTTTATTCCTTCTATTTAAAAATCTTTGTGTGGCACCTTGGTATTCTTTTCTTTAAATTGTGTTAAAATATGTATCATGTAAAATTCTCCATTTTGACCATTCAGGATACAGCTCAGTGGTGGAGCTACATTCACATTGTTCTCCAGTCACTGCTGTCCTTTCCTAGAATGTGTCCCCTCTTCCCAAACTTAACCAGACACGTTAGCAATAACTCCCAGTATCCCCACCTTGGCAGTCAGCATTCGCTTTGGGTGTGTTCATGGACACGACCTGGGGCTCTGACTGACCCTTCTGCTCAGACACGGGCTTCATCATCCATCTTTTCACTCACTGTCCTGGCTCAGGGCTCCGCTTTTCCTCCTGCTGACAGGACCTTTCTCTCTCTCCTTTTCCCTTTACTCCCTCTTTCGCTTTGGCTGTTCCACCATTTTTGTTCTTCCTCTGACACATCCTTTTCAGCTCACCACAGTGAGGAAGATGGGCCTTCTGTCCTGAGCTCTGCAGGAAATCCTGGCCCTGGCCCTCCCGCCAACAGCATCTCCTCTGCTGGTTGTGTGTGGGAGCTGCAGTGGTCTGGTCCATGCCTGATGCTGTTAGGTTCATCTTTTTCACATTCCCACATTCCCTTCTCAAAGGGTTTTCCATAGTGTAATGGTTATCACTTTTGCCTAACACATTCCCTTCTCAAGATTTCCGCTTTTCTAAATGGGGTCAAGGAGAATCTCCCAGGGACTGGAAATCATCCTCTAAGCACCTCTGGGTCTGAGGTGCTAGGAATTTTGACAGTTCCCAAGACTTTCTTGCTTTAAGAAGTATTTGTTTTGTCATTTCTATGTATCAGAGTCTATTCCCATATATTATAAAAGCTAAGGAATTTTATTTAGTTAGAAGTAAAAGAAACCAGAGAACCGTGACTTAAATGTTCTAGAATTCTTGTATCACTTTCTTGCTGTAATTCCACCTTCTCTTTAAATTTTATGTATTTTTGTCTTTAATATATGTTGCTGAACTGTGGTTCCAAGATGACTTTCAGGGATGTTGCTTTCATGAAATATTTTACCTGCAGATGAGTGCTTTTGCATTCTCAGATGGAATTAAATTCCTCTTTAAAAGTTTTGACTGTGTGGTATATCATAGACTAAAACAGAGTGAAGATTACATACTTTAATCACTTGGAATGGCTTGGGGAAGTAGTTTCTGATTGCCTAATTCTGGAGTTGTAAAACATCTTGAAATAATTCAAATGAAAAGATGAAGCAGCTACTATGAATACTCTCTTCAGAAGCTGGAGAGCGAACAGCCCCTTGTGGATGGCAGTATGGGGTCTGCGAGTTGTAAGGAGAGCTGGGTATCTGGTGTCTCCCCTGCTCTCTGATGTTCACCAGGAGCCTGACACTGCAGAAGAGTGGGTGTCTGTGAAACCAAGTAAGTCTCACTCTCTCTGTACACAAGGCCACAGACCATGACAACAGTAAGGAGGTAGGAGGGAAATTCAAATTGCTTCTAAAGTTCAGAAAGAGAATGAGGTTAGCTAGGTTTTGGGGACCAGGGGTGAGGACAAAGGACTTATACTTCACTGGCAAAGGAGTAAGCTAAGGGCCAAGAAAGAACTTGGCTGTCATTCGATGATTAGTGATAGGGCAGACATACATGAAGTATGGAAAGGATTTTCTTCAGGTAACTGGAATTTTGAATTTTGGTGGTAAACCCCTCATCCTGGGTAGTGCCCCTCTTATGCATTTATGTCCCTCGACTCCAGCCAGCCTGAGACTTAGCTGTCCAGATTAGCTGCTATATCTGCAAAAGCAAGTCTCAGAGAAAAGTTTAGGTACTCGCTTTTTTGTGTTTTGTGCTCTAGGATTTGAAAGTAAGTTAACCATTTAATCTCAGTTACATGTGAATGAGACAAGGTTTTATTGCTATAATTATGAAATTTGTAAACTGGCTCTGGTAATAATTCTTTCAGGGACAGCATGAAGTTCTCTTTGTGTTGTCATGGCATTGAATAACTAGCATTTCATTCCACTCAGAAGCAGCACAGGGACATAAGGATGAAGCTCAGTGACAGTAGCTCCTTTTCCATCGTATTGATTCTCCCTGAACAGCTATTAAATCAGTGAGACCAATATTGTACCTTGTGCTTACAGGACTCCCATGGCCTGTGAAATCTGATCAACCATCTCCAATGAGGTGGCTGCCAACATGGTCTGAATGATGTGGAAATCTGATATTATCACTCCCTGATTAAGAACTTTTCCTGGCTCCATTGCCTGAGATCAGATTCTTCTCAATTGTCCCTGGCTCCCATTCTAGGCCCATCTTGGAATCTCTAGGCTAGAGCCATATGAGCACATTCAGTGGATTATTGACCAAGTTGGAAAGGCAGTTCAACAAGGAAAAGATTTTCAGCAAAGCATAGTGGAACAATTATATATTTGAGTGGGATTTGTTCTAATAATATATGAAAAAGGGCACTGACTATTCTAGAATAAAAATTAACTCAGTGCATCACAGATTTAAATGTAAAAGCTGACCTGTAAATACTATAAAAAAAAGTGTTTGAAGCCTTATGGTAGGTATAGATTTAGCATTCAAAACATTAAAACTCAAGTTACAAAGACATTTGGCAAATTGGACTGTATTTACTTTTTTTTTTTTGAGATTTATTTATTTATGCATAGAGAGCTGGGGTATAAGCCAGAGGTGCAGGGATGGTGAGGATTCACCAAAGACAGAGTGGGGAGCAGAACAGGCGGACTGACGAAGTACACTGCTGAGGGGAGCAGCGGGCGGGTCAGGAGAGATTTGCTGCACCATATAGGTCACCTCCCGGGTGGGGATGGAACTTGCACTGAAGCAGCTGTGGCTACCTTGCAGTGCTGCACTTTGACCTGTTGTGCCACTAGGGAGGGCCTAAATTGGACTTTATCAAAAATTTAAAAATTTACTCTACTAATATTATCAGTAAAGAGAACAAAATCATAAACCACAATCTAGGAGAAAATATTTGCAGCACATTTCTCAGACAAAAATCTTATATCTAGAAAGTCTAAATAAACCTTACAACCAAGCATAAAAATGGATAAAATGATTCGAGCAGACACTTTGTAAGTAAGTGATCACTTATAGTCATCACTTAATCATGTGGAAGTTCATTTAGCATCAAAGTCGTCAGAGAAATGCAAACTTAAACAATAATTTGTTACACAAATATTGACTAGAGAGTTCAAAATGAAGAAGACTGACAATTCCAGTAAAGTAGCAGACCCTTGCATTCCACCCGTGCAGACAGGAGCATAAGATGATGCAACCACTTAGGAAAACCCTGCATTGCATTCCACCCATGCAAATAGGAGCATAAACTGATATAACCACTTAAGAAAATCCTGCAATTTCTCAGTGAAGCATAGGCTTGCTATATGACTCAGTCATTCCATTTTTGGTATTTACTCAAGTGAAAGAAAACATGTCCACCTGAAAACTTGAACTCAATTGTTCATAGCAACGTTATTTGGAATAGTCCCAGGCAAAGCAAAAAATAAACATACTTCAATAGGTGATTAGACAAACAAGTCATAGTAAATCTATAGAATAAACAATTGCTTGGCAATTAAAAAGAACACAAAACTGACACATGCAATTGTGGCCAAAGAACCTCAAGATGATCACACTGAGCCAGGGAAGCCCAGCTTACGTATATCCTGGATGATTCCGTTTATATAAAATCTAAGACAATGAAAATTAATTATGGTGACAAAAGATTGATTGTTGTGTGGAGTTGTAGGATGGATCTTGTAGGGTGGGTTAAAGTGGACTGGAAAGGTGTGGGGGATGGAAATATTTTGGATCTTGATTTCACTGACATTAGCTTGTTGTATACAAAGTGTACCTTAAAGTTGACATGAAAATCTTATGGTTGAGATAGCTTCTATTTGGCTACTTAGATTTTAGCATTCACAAACTATTGTTTCATATGAATATAATTAAAAATGAAAATCCATTAAAATAGTTTCAAAAATAGCAGAGCTGCTGCTGTAGGGAGAAAGGGAGGAATTGTTTGAAAAAAAAGAAAAAGAACCATTTCCTGGAGAATCAGAGGACTAGTAAATCACCTAAGATTGGAGATCAAGGTCATTTACTCAACCTAATCCATGTTTATTTTGTGATGGAGACTTGGGAACTTTCTATAATTACAACATAGAATCACACATTTGAGCACTTCTAAGAACACATAAAATACCTAATTTTTGAACTTTAATGGAGATTAAATATAACATACACTAGAGAGTAAGGGGGTGATGATGTTCTCTGTGCATGTTAGTGAAGACTTGTCTGGGTTAAGATATCTGGAACACTGTGACTGGAGCAGCAGAAAAGGTGACTTATTCAAAGATAGGTCCTTTGTCTTCTAGGGTCAGATGCCACTTCCTAAAGCTCTGATGATGCTATGTGATGACACCTGCTAAACTATAAGAAGGAGCTGGCACTGGCAGGAAGGAGCTGTGCCAACCCACTGCCACCTCCAGCCCACCTCCCTTAGTCTCTGGGGCAAGTTTGAGAAGTGGACAAGATAGATATAATACCCTCTCTAGAGACCAGAGAAACCCATGACCACACTTGCTGGGGAATACACAGACTAGAAGAACAGAGAGTAGAACTCAAGTCTTTACGATTCTAGTCCTTGGTTCTGTCCAATTCATGATGGAAGCAACAGGGAGAGTAGAAATGATAAAAGGTAGGGCGGATGTCATGGGCATACCAGTGAAAGAGAGCCTACTTAGGACTTTAATTTTTTTTTTAAAGATTTATTTATTTATGCATACAGAACTGGGGTACAGGCCAGAGGTGCGGGAGCCGTGAGAGGGTTCCCCAGAGATGGTGGGGAGCAGAACAGACAGACTGACTGACGAAGTATACTGCTGAGGGGAGCAGCAGGCGGGTCAGGAGAGGTCTGCAGCGCCATGTGGGTCACCTCTGGGGTGGGGATCGAACTCATGCTGAAGTGGCTTTAGCTTCTTAGTGCTGTGCTTTAACCGGCTGCGCCGCCAGGGAGGGCCCGGAATTTAATTCTAATGAGAGGCCACTGGAGCGCTTCTTATCTGGCAAACATATTGTTAAGGAATGAGTCCAAAAAAGACAAAAGTAATGAAAAAGAAAATGAAAGAAAAAAGAACCCAAGATGCAAATAGTAGTAACTGGCTTTCTCAGCAAGTGGATGTGAGAGGAAGACCCAGGAGCACCTGGAATTACACTTCCTGCTCCAGTGTGTTGTGGTTTTAGGCCTCACCTGATAATCAGACACCTACTTAGCAATAAACTCTCTGGAGGCAACAGAAGGGGAGGAAGCGGTTCCCTAAAAGAAGTAAGGCAGTTGACTGAAGCATTATCTTATAAAACATATGAGGTAAGGTTTGAAGCTGTTCTGTTCTGGAAGCCAAATAATCGCCAGCTAAACTTCCTGCTGGCCTCTCTCTTAGGGCAAACAGCTTGGCTTTCACACTCACAGGATTTCCTAGGCAACAGGAATGTAAACTTGAGAGAAGGCAGGGCTGGGTAGAGATAGACGGCAGGCTAGGCCAATTAGGCCGCGACTCTGCAGCACTGATTCCTAGCCACCCAACTGGCACAAAGCAAGAGGCCTAGAGGAGAAGGTAAGGGGAGGAGACTAAGGCAGGTGGGAGGGGGTGGGTCCCGGGAGGTGCAGAGAGCGTCCATAGTTTCAGGCGAAACAACAGGTGGCGTCAGTTTAAGATTCCAGGTAAACCATTTTTTCTTTTAGTCTATTACGTTGATTCGATCACTTTTGTTTCATTTTAAAAATAGACAGTAGATGTTGCTTTCTAAAAAGGAAACCTAACTTTTGATGATAGTTCTTGGATGATTACAGGACTGTCAGTCTGGGGAGGAAACAAGTTGGTACCGGCAGAGCTTAGCACCCTGTTTGAGAAGAGGTACTCGTGGGAAAAGGAACAACAACAAAAAAAATCACCCAGTGGAGGGAAAGGAAGGAACTCGACATCCCTGAGAGGGCACTGTGTGCAGGGTCCGTGAGTGGGACGTGATTTGACTTGATGTAACTGGCTTGTAAGAGCGTTGATAAAACTGCACTTCAAGATCAAATATCTACGAATCATAAAGCAGTGGAATCTTGATCTTTGATTCAGATCTTACTTGGTCTGACGTTCAAAGTTGTGCTACTTCTGCTAGACCCTGCTGAACTGACCACTTAGAGTCAGATAAGCAGAATTCTTATTATCGTGGACTGAACATTTCATCAGAGAGCTGATTTGAATCTGAGAAGGAGCTTCGGAAAGGGTGACACAGTTTACCCAGGCTCCACTCGGCTTGCCTTCAGTCTCGGGTGCAGTTAAGCCAGGCAAGAAGAGGAATTCTTTCCTCTTTTTAGAGCTCTGATTCTCCCTCTAAAATCTTACAACTACAGAAATATTTTTATTTTGTAATTGTGCATTTTAAATATTGTAATTTTCTTTTAAGGATTTATTTATGCATACAGAACTGGGCTACAGGCCAGAGATGCGAGGAGGGGAGAGGATTCACCAGAAACAGAGTGGGGAGCAGAACGGGCAGATCTACTGAAATACTCTGCGAGGGGAGCAGCGGGTGAGACAGGAGGGGTCTGCTGCGCCATGTGGGTCATTTCCCGGCTGGAGATGGAACTCGTGCTGCAATGGCTGCAGATGGCTTCATAGTGCTGTGCTTTCACCCTTTGTACCACCAGGGAGGGCCCGCTATTGTAGTAGGAAAGGCAGTTCTGAAAGCAAAGTTCCAT